AATGCCTATTTGGTCTCCCCGTTTTATAATTACAGAAATGATTCAAAATAATGAAATGGTCTTAAATGTACTAAATTGAATGTGAATATCAATGATTTCTTGTATCGTTATATCTTTATTTTATATTCTAATCAAAAGAAAGATTATAAAGAATATTCGCCTTGTTGTGCTGCGCGTCCAGTAACAAGAACTTACTTGAAGTAAATGTCTAAACTTTTAACATGTTTACTGATATCGGAAATAAAATCACACTGAACCGTCCATGGTGAGATGAAGAGCTAAGTTGCGCCTTTTTTCGAGAGTCATCTGGTCGGAGATTCTAATCAGGTTTGCCTGCTCAATACGAAGAGCTCGTCTTAATTCCTGCAGTTTCCATCCCGCCTCAATCTGTTTTTCGGCTATTTGCTTCTGCAAGGCGGCGATCCGCCGATTTAAAGCATCGTAATCTGCTCGCAACCGATCACTACCGTGGTCTCGATTAATCGGTGAACGATCGCGAACCGCAGAACAGTTATCTTGTTGCACCATATTCGAAGTCAATAGACAGATTTTATCGTGCAACTCAGCCAGTTGCGTTAGTGTCAAAGACTGAGAACGGCAAACATAAATATTTTGTATTAATAATCAATTATTTCCGTTTTAAAAACTATTTTTACATTACGGAGAAAGGACAGTTTTGTTGAAGTATCTACAAATTTAGCTAGAGAGATACAAATCTGAAAATGAATTTGTTGTACTATCAAAATAATTATGTAGGACGCTCAAATTGATTGCCAAATGTCAAAATTTTTGCAGAGTGTTGTTCATTATGATTGAGATTTCTACGTAATTATTTTGTCGATCGAACAAAATTATTTTGAAATCTATAATTTGATAAATTTATTTAGATATTTTAGTAAAATCATTCTATGTATATATCTAGATATATTTTTATCTGTCTATAAGATATAAGTAATATATAGATATATTGAGATATGCAAACATAGAAATAATATTTCAATTTATTACGAGTACGATGCGTCAATATGGAGAAAAGTGAGATTTGATAGATAAAGAAGCAAACGGAGACCAGCAAAATGAACTCTTACCACCGCACGTACATACCTTCAACCAAGATTCAGGGTTAAAAGCTGCAAGCTTATCGCCATTATCCACACCTGCAACCTTGGTAACTTCCACACCACGCTCCTAGAAACGATTCATTTTCAGCGTTAATATGCAAGTCAGAAAATTCAAATTATCCTCCGGATAAATCATCAAACAGGATGTTTGATGTATACTTGATTAATGCTATCTATTATTCGCCTCACCAATAATTGTTTTATATAATTCTCATTTTCTCTCTTGCATTCATTAAGCAGTTTGAGTAGTCTATCGATATCCTGAATTTCGATTTCCGCCTGATAGATATTTTTGGACAGTTTTTGCGATTCTCTTAGCAATTCCACGATGGATGGCACAATCCAGCGCTCAATTTCAAAATCATCGTCCAATGTTGCCGCCATCGCGGGTCTCACAGAAATTTTTCCATCCACAAATTGTATGTAATCGCGCACACGTTGTACAGCTGTTGTATTACGAGAACAAATGCAGAACTAACTTGTAGAAATTATGTAATCAAAGTTTGTTCTTTTCATTTTTCTATGTATCACAAAATTTATCCAAATATTAGTTTTCTGTACAAACTGCACGTGCGACTTTTTGGTGCAATGGCGTTGCGTAATTAATAGAATATAACAATTTGCAAAATGTTGCCTTCGAGTGTCGTAAATTTATGGAAATGCTTAACTTATTAAGATATTAGCGGGGCTAATTACGGGCTATGAATAAGGAAATCCACGTTTCTATGGTGCGATAAAAACTGTCGGAATGACAAAACAGTTGAAAAAGTTTTTATGCAAGTTTTTACCGTCATATTGCTTTTCAATTTGCTTCTTCAGTAATTCATTCGCCTTAACGAAGTCGCCGCATTCATCCGGTTTAATCACGCCAGTCTCTGGAATTACAAAGATGTTTTTCCTTTAATGTGAACGCGACTGACAAAATTCAATAAGAAAAAGACTTCGCCAAAAACCACTGAATGAATGAAACACATTATACGACTAAATTATATTCATTAATTTATACAACGCTATATTCAATAATACAATCCCGACCATAAGTTTGGAAACAAAATTTTTTTACATTTTACAAAAAGTTAAATATTTCAATCAAAAAAATCATAGTGAAGTCTTTGATCACGCATTTTATTAAAGGGCAAAGATAGGCTTTAAATTCATATTTGAATTTTTTTTCTACGGGATTTCATTCCTAAATTACATAAAAATACTACAAATTAAAGCGTGATCGAAAATTTCTCTACAATTTGTTTCACCAAGATATTTTTCATAAAATGTGAAAAAATCATAAGTTTTCTTTGATCGAAACTGTATATCGAAAAGGTACAAACCTACGATGGGAGGCAGTCTTTGGATTTGATCCTTCATCCTGTTAACTTCTTCATCGACTTGTTCAGGATAATCTTTTATTTCGTTCAGCCGCGCTTTCAATCGACCCAATTCTAATTCCAGACTATCGTTGATCATTTTTAATTTATTATTCTCTTCCGCCGCGTATCTTAAATCTTCTCTCGCCTTGTCTATCTCGATCATCGATTTCTTCAATTCATTTTCAAATCTGTCGATATTGTCAGCATCCTCTACAAAATCATCTTTTGATTTCTTTGCTATTTTAATATTTTCGATTTTCAGAGCAACATTCTCGTTTTTCAAAGAAGCATATTGTTTATTTACGTCATTTAGATTATGCTTTAAACTCTCATTTTCCATACGCATTTCATCTAGTTCTGCCTTTAACTTTTCCATTAATTCGTCGTTGGAGATCGCCTTTTTCTCAATAACTTCCTTTGCAACTTTATCCGACGTAACTTTACCTAATCTACTCACTTCCGCTCGTAAACTATCTAACTCGTTCAGAAGTGCTTCTTTCTCTTCTAACAACGCAGCTTCATGATACTGCAATGCGTTCACCTTGTCCTGCGCGTCGATTAACGTTTTCTTTAAATCCTCTACTTCACTGTTCAACTTGTTATTCGCTAATTCAAAGGTATCTAAATTCTTTTGCAGTTTTTTCAGTTCCGATCTTAATCTATCGTTTTCCGATTGGCTAGTAGATAAGTCCAATCTACTTTTTTCTAATAATTCGGCTGTCAAGTTAGATTTCAGATTTTTAATCTCATCCTTTTGCCTATCGTCCTCGCCGTTTAGTTTGCCAAATTCTTTCTCGAATTTCTGTCGTTCTTCCTTCAGACTCGTGTTTTCTAGTTTCAAACCATCAACTTGAGATATCAGCATATTTGATTCGCTTTTTAGTTTATTATTCTCGTCTGTTAATGTATTTATTTTTGATTTTAATGTGTTATTGTTTTCTCTCAAAGCTAATACTTCATTTTTTATGTTTTCAAGTTCTGTCTTTAACGTTGATACTTCACGCGATAAATTTTCCTTCTTATCTTTTATTTTATCGTTCTCTGTTCTTAATTCAATTAATTCTAGTTTTAGTATTTTAAGTTCCTCTCTCAAAGCAACGGCTTCATTTTTGACTGTATTCAGTTCATTTTTGACTTTAGTCAGTTCCTCCACAGCCTCTTTTTTAGCAGACTTTTCGGCGAATGAAGACAGATTCAGCCCCTCTAACAGCTTTTTAAGCTCTGCTATTTCTCCCTCGAGCTTAATCTTCTCATTTCTAAGATTCGTTATCTCCTTCTCTAATGTTTGATGTTCAACCTATGAATTTCAATGTGATTATTATCAAAGGCACAAGAAGTTACAGGAGGAATACGTAACTAATTATCTCTACCTTACAGACGTTTAAAGCTTCCTTTGTCTTTTCATTCTCGATGGATAACTTATCTGAGCTCGTCTTAAGCTTGCAATTTTCCAACTTCCAATTTTCAATATCTTCTTCCGCTTTAGATAATTGCGATTGAAGATCAGATATACCCAGTATTAAATTATTAATCTGGTTCATCATCTCAGCATTCGCAGCCCTTAGGCTTAACGATTCCTTGCCTAGATTCAACAGCTCTTCCTTGAGGGTGTCTCTCTCTTCTTTTAGGGCATGATTTTGCACCTTCATCTCATCGATCTTTGAGATCAAATTTTTCATCTCATTCTTTAATGCCACTAATTCCTCTTGAATGTCTCGTTTAGCAGTAGATTCTGCACTTAGATCTGCTCTTAGTCGTTCATTTATAACTTTTGCCTCTTGCAGTTTATTATTTAACTCGACCGATTCCTGCTGCAAATCTACAACTTTGTTATTTGCCCTCGTCAATTTATTACTCATATTATCTATCTTCTTTTTCAAAGTTTCTATTTCGGATAATAATTTTGTTAGTTCTTCTTTCCCATCATCCACTTCCTGTGACAATTTTCTGTTCTCCGACTTCAACTTTGCCATTTCGCTCTGCAAAGTATCGAAGTCCGCGAGTAGCTTGTTATTATTTACATTAGCCTTCTTCAATTCTTCTGTAAGAACTCCATTCTCGACTTTAAATTTGTTCAATTGTTTCTTTGCGTTGTCTAACGCTACATTTGTTTTACACAAGTCATCTTTAAGAAGGACACTCTCGGATTTCAAGTTGTCTCTTTCAGTTGTCAAATTGTTTCTTTCGCTTTTAACAGCAGCACTTTCGTCCTTTAGTTTATCGCTTTCAACCTTTAATCTATCCATTTCTCGTAACAATCTATCGGAGCCTTCTTTCCATGCAATCCCTTCGGATTTTAATTGATCCGTCTCCGCCACTTGTTTTTCTAATTCATCTCTTAAATACTTATTCTCGGATAATAATTGATCTATCTTTGCCTTAATATTATTATTTTCCCTTCTCGAAGATTCCAGTTCCTTAATCATGTTATCAAGATTGTTTTTCAAAGCAACATTTCCTTCTTTAAGTTCGTTAGTCTCCAATTTTGCATTTTCCAATGTCTCCTTCAAGAATTCATTCTCAGTTCCGAGACTATGCAAATTGTCCCTCATGCCCTCTAGCTCTTTTTGCGCCACTTGAAATTTTTCTTCCTCGCGACGCAGGTCAACGTTCAACTTATCGATCTCGCTCTTTATCTTGTTATTTTCCTCTTCCACTCTACTCAATTCTTGTATTTTTCGGATTTCCTTCTCTAACGATGCATTCTTAATATTTAATTCGTTGCATTCGGACTTCAGGCTTTCAACGTGCTTCTTCAGAATCTCACTTTCGTTATTCAGTTCGCTTATTTGACGGTCTTTCTCGGACACTACACTCTGTATCTTTCTCAGCTCATCGAGAAGTTCCTTTTTCTTCGTCTTAAGATTATACAACTGGGACCTCATATCTTCGATCTCGCTCTGGAATTTATTCACGTCCAGCGCAGGCAGTCCCGACTGCCGCAGGCTTTCGAGAAGCTCGGTAATCTACGAACAAATACCCAATTGTCATGAATACTACTACAGAGTTAGACAAGTATAAACATCCTCTAGCATTTGTCTCGTCTCAATGAAACAGAAGTTTACCATGTTCGTATAAAACGTTCATGGCTTTTAACACACCGTACATGCAACCAATTACGAGCATTCACAGACATGAAGAAATAAAGAGAGGTACCGTATCATCAGATTTCTCAGGTTCTTCCTCCATATCGGCCACCTCGTCCATCATGGTCGCTGGTCTGACGATGGAGGCTTTCAGTTGATCAAGCTCACTTCGTGGAGCCTCCGTGTAAGCCGTCTTCTCATCCAAATCCATTGAAGGACGAATTTGCGTCAGTACTTGCGGGCGTTCTGTTCGTAACAGATCTTCGTAGCTCTTTGATAGATCCACCGATGCCTGCATTGATCCCTCGACAACCACGGACACCTGTTGATCAGCCTTCTGACCATCTTTCATTAGTTCACGAAGCTTTGCCCTCAAACGATTTAATGCCGCACAGGAAGTATCCTCCTCGGCTTCCACCAGTTTCAACTTCAGATGCGATATCGTGTCTCGCATTCTGTCACGATATCAACAGTTTGCGCGTAATTATATTGGCGTACCGTGTTTAATGAAGATAGATGGTTTTCAAGGAAATATCGTAACTGACGAACTGTGATTAATTTCCTTTCAAAGCTATATAACTTCGCAAAGTATAAAACAGAAGTCTGTTCTAACTGTTATGACAATTCCCGAACGATTAATTTAAGTAATATTAATGTTATAGGAGCTTTTTTTTAGTATTCTCCTTTCGCTTATTGCTCAATTATTTTCCCGTTTATTAAAACAATGTGCAGAAAGAAAGGAGAAAGAAAGAATCATTAAACTGTCTTAGCGAAATTTCATAGCCAATAGGTATTATGTACTGTTTTTTTTCGGCAGCGAAACGATCTCTCAGTGCTGCTATTTTCTCCCTCACGTATTTAACTTTTTCGCACGGATCGTCGCAGCAATCTCGTTCGGCGAGACTCTCTCCGAGGTTGTGAACTTTTTCCGCCAATTCCTCATTTGCATTCTGCAGCCTTTCGTTTTCCTCGCGGTAATGCACGAGCAAGGGATCAGTACCCAATACCCCGTCGGACTTCACACCTATAGGGAAATTATTTGACCGCCCGAAATGTATTCGGTATTCTCTTTTATATGAAGAAGAAAATATGGGTCGTTTGCGGTGAGCTGTGCACATCGATAGAAAGCTATGAAAACTTAATAATAAAACGTAGAAACGAAATATATAAAATAATGATGTATTGGAAAATTGTTTAGCTTAATAACCGAATTTTATTAGATATTTTACGAAATATCCGGAATCAATATGTAGTTAGATTTTATTATAGAACCGTTCCATTGTATCGCACCGAAAAAAGTACCGTGCTAAAATTACTCTTCGTAGTATATATAGCTCGGTAATTTCTTATTTATAAAAATCTAAATTTATAAAAGAATATTTATTTTACAAGAAATATATAGTGCAGGAGAGCACACAAAGATTGGGGAGAAAAGATTCGACTATGAAATGAAACATCGATACCGAATGATCGTAGGGCTTGTTTCAGAGACCTATTTTCGCTCTCGAGCTGCAGCCGTTCCATGCGCCACTTCTTCATCTGGCACTTCATTACCGTCAGTTTTCGTAGAGCAAACGGTAGATCGTAGATCTCCGATTCCTTGGAATTGTCGCTAAAGGGATTGTAATCGCAGCAGCAGCATGGCTCATGCGGCGGTAATTCGATCGGTTTTATCGGCCGCGGTGCGTGACATCCGCATGAACAAAACGGCGGTACGTATTGATCGTCCATGACTTGATATAATTTTGAAGACCACGTTTAACCTCTATGCATGGCGTATGTTTCAACAGCACAAATTTATTTCTAAAAATGCCTCTACAATCATTACAACGTTTTTTCGGAGAGCGCATCGCATAAAAAATGTATAAGTTACTTGGTAACCATTTTTGTACTATATGTACCTCTAACATTATCGGGATGGAAAACAAGTTATTTATGACTCGGGTCAACTCATAGATAACCCGTGGTAGTAGAGTGCGCTATCATTGTTCCGTAAAAAAGCTCCGCCAAGATAAAATCTTTTTATGCATAGAGATATGAGGTTGCGCGGAAACTCGTGAAACGTCAGTCATATTTTTGGTATTATTCCCAGCGAGTTCGACACACGACTCGATGACATCGAGTGAGATCGATATAATTCGATTTAATAATCCCGATTCGTGATATAATAAGTTAACAAAACATTATGAAGTAAATTTCCTTCTATCATGACCGAATTAGACTTTGGATAATTTAATTTTTAAAACGTATGCAATATAGATAACTTTTTGATGATGAATATAGCATAATAATTATATCTAATGAATTGTCTCGCGTGTCATCGAATTTATATCAAGAATTTCAATCATATTTCAAGCATTGATATACTTACTATGTCGATGATTTATGAATTGAGATTTTGAATAGAGATGCTATAGGATACGTGCATTATTCACCGAATTCTCCATGTCGTAAAGTTCGCGCGCACCGGGAAATCGGAAGTACCGATTACGTACGACCCACATAATTAAGCGGTCGCTATAATAATTAAATTTCGCGCAGTATGGCCGGCGAAAGTCCTCGTTACAGCAGTCTTATTAGGTGTTCCGATATTGAGGGGTTGGTGCAGCGATACTGAACGCTTCTTAAGTTTCGAGAGTTTCGAGAGCACTTGGAGCTACAGTTCGGTTCTGTTCGAGAACTTATCGAGAGGGCCCGTCATCAATTAAATCTGCGCGGTAATTGCAAAGGAAGGAGGAAAACACGGGTGTAGTGCGGGGTTAACGGAACTTTACGAAACTTTCCGCCCCCTTTTTGCTCGCCGTCCGCCGCATTACTCGTGCAAAATCACCGTTTCGTTAATCGAATTGGTGTAACAACAAACGGGCTCTTAGCTCTAACAAAACGTACAATAGATAGATGTATCGCGTACATGTACGGATTCTAGAACATGAAGATATCTGTTTCCTTATCGCATATATAAAGTCGATTTTTACATTCCAAGCACACAAATTATAAAAGCATTTGCTCATTAATGTCATTTCGATATATAAAAATTTTCAAGTTGATGAAACATTTACAGACAATTATAAATTCTGCAAGTTATTGATGTTCCCATGACGTGCATGTTTTAATATAAAATATTGATATTTCATTGTAATTAATAAAATAATACAAATTAATGGATTATATTTATAAGTGATTTATAAACGCCAACCTCGACGGAATATTTCCAAAAATTAATGATAACTTAAAAGAAAATCTGTATAAAGGTAAAATCATAAATTTGATATATGAACAATAAATATATACATAATGTTTGTTACATAAATTTTTATAATAGCTGATATTCATGTTTAGTGAAGTTTATTATACTTAATGCGTTTTGTCACGTATTGCGTAATTCTGATAAATTGAAAAAAAAACAGCAATGAGTGACAAATATCTCGACGATTACCTGTCAGTGGTCGCGATTGACGTCGCCGTGGAAGAGAAGACGAGAATCGCCAGAATGGCTGTTGCGACATTGCACAAGCTGCATAACGTGATGCTGCAGATGAAAGATTGGCGGGACGATAGCGCGAAACTGAAGAGTAATATCTGGCGGATGAAAATGGCTTTGCGTGCGGATGACAAGAATGGGAACGATAACCAGCAAATCGACCCTTTGATCGTGCATCAGAGGGCGGAGATTAACCGGTTGGAACAGGCAAACGACGCTTTAGAGAATGAAGTAACGAGTCTAAAATGCGCTTTAACGAAAGCCGAGAAGGATATCGCGTGTATCACTGTCTCTGAAATAGGCGATAAGATCGCCACACTTGAGAATGAATTCTTAAATGAGAGAGAACGCATGAATGACGAAATTTTGTGTCTGAAGGAGCGATTGAAAGAGGCTGAGGAGAGCGAGACGAGTGTCATGCTGAAACAACTCAGGGACGAGCTGAATGAATTCGCGAAAGGTGATCGGACGATAGAAATAATCTTCGCTAATGCGATCGGCAAAACCGTTGAAATGATTATCGGTTTGTCGGAGGAGCTCGTGAACGTTAGCGAGAATTTGTATAGGTTTAAGACCAGAAATAGGAACCTGCGTCTCAAGCTGGACAGATCAAGAGCCTTGCTGCGATCGAGATGTGGTAATAGCGCGGAATATCGGAAGAGAATCGGCGAATTGAACAATCTCGCCGAACAATTGATGGGAGAGATGGGCCGGCTGAAAGTTATTCGTGAGAATGCGAACTATAGCGAAAGTTCGGACACCACGGATATCCCAGACGTTGTTAGACACGTCGAACGTTTGATGAACGACTTGAGGAACAATTTAAAGAGCGATCGCGAGGCGATGATCGCCGCCGGCGATCCCGACTGTTTGAAATACATGAAGAAAGTAGTTAATCTAAAAGTAAACCTAAAAGTGCTGTCCGTGGAGCTTAGACGATCGAACGTGCCGATAGACAAACGGTTATGCGAGAATCTCCAGTACGAGAAATGCGTAGAAATAGCTTCGTCAGTGAATGATTTTCTGCAGAAAATCGACAATGAGATTGAAAAGTTGAAAATAAAACCGATGAACAAATATTGCAAAATCGGTGGCATCAGCAGCTCGCAATATATGAATAAAGTCATGGAACTCGAAGATATTGTTAGAAAATCAATTGCAGTAATCGCTATTTTAAAACAAGCTCCGCCGGAAGTTATAAATACTAACGAGAAAATAACGGAGGTACTAGAAGACTTGATCGAGCAATTGTGCAGTAAAATAAAGGAGCTCGAAATTTTCGATGACCGCGCGAATTTACGTGACAGAATCGAACAGCTTGAAGCTATGCTCATGTATTTAAAATCGGAATTATTGGAAAAGAACGAACGTATAAATGCACTGAACGACGAGCATGCAAGCATCGGATTAACGTCAGAGAGAGATCGTGAGAAGTACGAGAAGATTATCGCTGACATACGCGACGTGAACGAGACTCTCCGAGGAGATGTAGAAAGGGGGAAACAAGAAATATTGGAGCTGTCGCTTAAACACGATCATTCCGAGCGACGTGTCGCGGAAATGCAACTGATGAAGGTTGAAATTGATGCAGCGAGGAAAGAATTGCAGGACCTTCATGATGATAAAGAGACGTTATTAGGGGAAACGGAAAGGATGCGTAACGTTCTCAAGGAGAAAGACGAGGAAATTGAGAATATTATTACCCAGAAGAACGTGCTGAAAACGGTCCTAAGGGCGGAGACAGAGGACCTGAAGACGAAACTTGGGATCGCTTCCGATGAAAATGTAAAACTGAGAAGTATAATTGAGGGACTTGGGAAACAGGAGGAACGCGAGCGACTGGGCAAATTGAAAAGTTCGAAGAAGGAAAGCTGCGAGGAGGAACGAGACAATAGCGAAGACCGTGCACAAAACCTCAGGGATGAATTGGAGTACTTGAAAGCTGAGTCAAATGAGCCTAAAATAAGTTTGGACAAGGCGGACAAGCGAGTCGGTTATTTGAAGTGCGCGCCGGATGAAGACATCGACGACAAGGCTGGGCCGGAGGATAAAATTTCTTATTTGGAACCTAACGAGTCGTTGACGTATCGATTGAACGTCCCGATAAATGCTGGCGAGGAAACATCGGGAGAATTCGACAGAGTGATAGCGGAGTACAAAGCGTCGAAGAATAAAGTCAAACAGCTTCAGAACGAGAAAGAACAACTCGAAGAGGAGTTGTCGAAGTTGAGGTCTGAGAAAGAATTGCTGGATAGGTCGATGTCCGATGCCAATAACAAGTGCGCCGTGCTGCAGGATCAAGTTAACAAATTTAAGTCCGAGCGTAACGGCCTTCGGGAAAAGATAAGCGAGCACGAAGCTACTGCGGAGAATTTAAAGTTTGAGCTGAAGAGATCGCGGGCGGAGCTCGAAGATGCGGTTGTTAATACGGTGCGCCTGCAATCGGAGAACTCGAAGGCCATCGGCGATTTGGATACGCTGTCTCTACGGAATACCGAGACCGAAGACCGTGTACGGATGCTGTTGGCAGAAAAGAACGAGTTCGCGACGCGTATTAACGAGCTCAATGATGAGAACGTCGCTCTGCGAGAGCAGTTGAATAAGGCGAGTGAGGAGAATGAATATTTTTCCATGGAATTGAATAAATCAAGGGTCGAAAATGACAAAGCGAAAGCGGAAAATGCCCTTCTGCAGGCTACCTACGACGCGAAAGAAAAGGACAATGTCGAGCTGAGGAAGGAGAGAGACGACGCGAAAGGAAGAATAAATGAAATCGCTAACGAGTGCAGTGCACTCGGTAATCAACTGAAGATCCAGCGAATGAAGTATGAGGCGTTGCGACTTACTGCGGCCACGTTGCACGACGAAAATAACGATCGTAAAAATTATTTAAAGAAGATCGATATGCAGTATCTGTTTGTGATGGACTGCGAGCGGGGATTCGCTGATACTCATAATGAGATTAAACAGAAGCAAAATTGCTCGGATACCGCGCGTGCGAGTATAAAGGTCGAAATTGGCGAACGGAGGGACGGTGGAACAGAAGTCAAAGTAGAATCTGATACACGCGATGGTCACGATGATAACAAAGCGGTGATCAAAGACGAACCAAAGGGCGAGCTAGAGAGATTGAAAAGCGAAAATAATTCTTTGAAATTAGAGCAGGCGAATTTGAAGTCCAAAAATTCCGAAGTTACGTTGAAACTGGCGGAAGGTAGATCCGAAAATGTAGTGCCATGGATAAAAGTTTCAGATGATGATGAAATTGGTGGTTCCATCTTGAAGAAATTTGAAGTCGCGAGTATCTGGCACAAGAAAGAAATGAGCAATTATTCGAATTATTCCAATGATCCGGATATGTCCAAAGATAGTGAAAAAATCGCGACGTTCGATATCGATCAGCTCAAAGTCGAGAATAGAGCACTGAAGATGAAAGCAGGTATTTCGTGTAGTAGTCGCAATTCCTGCTTGATGGACGACGGTAAATTCGGTAGAGCGACGGATGAGATTCAGGCTTTGAAACTCGAATTGATGTATCTACGGGACGAGAAGGCGACGTTAAAGTCACAGTTCGAGATATTTAAAGAGGAATTAAACGCATTGAAATCAGAGA